TAATGCACTAGGTATCAAATATATTAGAAGAGGTACTGCCTCCTGCAATGATGATATTGTGTTATGCAAACACTGTAAAAGTATTGAGGATGAAATCCATATTGTCTATATTTGTAAACGTTATGAGGATATGCGTCGGCGTTCCAAACCAAAAAAAACGGTCCATTCAGTCTGCAGCATATGTACATCGTCCGACAATAACTTCATAACTAATTTTGTCAAGTTCTTAGAACATGTTTATTCTGCTCCTGTTAGCGTTGTTGTATGAAAATCACTATTGTGCCACCTTGTACGATGGGTCGTATGGCCTTTATACAAAATAAACCCTTCTTCTTCTTCTTCCTTCTTCTTCTAATCTTTGAGTTTACATCCTTATGTGTCTACACAGGTTTGATAAATTTAGATTTTAAATTTGTGTATGCACAGTTTCTTTATGTGCCTAGTACAGTATGTAAAAAAGTTTGACTAGTTTGACACCAGCCTGTGATTCATGATAGCTATCCAGTGTTTATTCCAGGCGACGCTTTGTAGCATGTTACAGTTTGATCACTGTGTGTAAGTTTATTGTCAAGCACAAAGAAAATCAGGGTTGAAATTGATATTCAGTAACCCATGCTTGTTGTAAGAGGCGTCTAACGGGATCGGATGGTCAGGCTCGCTGAGTTGGCTGACACATGTCATCGTATCCCAACTGCGCAGATCAGTGGAGTGTTTAGTTTAGTCCATGGTTCCTGACAATGTCTCCAATAAGCAGAATGTAGAGGCTGAAAAGCTTGGGTCCAAGAACCGAACCTTGAGGAACGCCATACACCATTTGTGTGTGTGTGTTGAGGACATATCACCGATCTGGACAGATTGGGTAGGGTTGTAGATATACGAGCGTATCCACACCAGAGCTGTTCCTGTGAAGCCGAGTCTTGTCTGTAGCCGATGCAGGAGAACACTGTGGTCCCAGTAACGTACTCAAATGACTTGAATGTTGAAGAGTTACTGCGCCTGACAGGAATATATTGTTTGTAGATTAATGCCACTCCCCCACCTCTTCGGTGTGATCTGTTTACTTGCAGTATGTCATATTTCGCTGGTACTAATTCTTCTATAACTGATGTACCATTATCAGTCAGCCACGTCTCTGTGATAGCAAAGACATCAGAGTTGTTGTCCTGGATATAGTCATTGAGAATGAGAGGTTTGTTCCTCACAGGTTGAGCATTAAACAAGTTAATTTGAAGTTATGGGGCACAAAGTTTTTTGAAACATTGACAAACTCACCACAATGTTGATTTAGGGTAACACAACCATTTGTACTTGTTCCTGCCGCCTCTTGAACCTCTTAGGGCAGCTTCTATGTGGCTGATATTAAGCTGTTAAGTCACCGTACTTAGTCCAATTTTACTGCACGTTGCTGTACCCGGAACTAGGTGTTTGTACGTATTCATGTGGCCACCGTTTGGTCATTTACCAACACATTCGTGGGTTCTTGTAAGTGCACAGGGTTCTGTACTGTACACTAGGGGCTGTGACAACAGTGAAAGAGTCTGCACACAAAGTTTACACCCGGTCACAGGTGAGCTCGATCCCGGCACCTCAGGCTCACTGGATCACTAGCCTGGCGCCTTAGTTAGCTCGCCCACCGCGCCCAAACGTGTGGCACTTCTCTGTGTGTGGTGTACATCATAAGATACTGGATGAGTTCAGAATTCCAATTTTGTCCTAAAGCCTGTTTAGCCAATTATGTTAATTATGTTGTTTTGTTTTCTCCATTCAGTACATATACGTCCCTCCCCTTATGTTACATTCCTGCTTGGGAACGGTACAAATCTACACGTTGCACTCACGAAATAGAGAAGTTGTTATTCATCATGTTTGTCAATAGTTTACTTCCCAAATTTTAAATTGGCACTCAAAGAAGCTTGTTCGCGTCTCTATGTGGCTGAACCAATACCTTTGATATGGTTTGATAATAATTTCTAAAAAATCAAAATAGTTTAACTGTAGTTTTCTGTAGTCAGTAAGTGTTTAGGGGACCAATTGACAGAACCATGGCTAAAGGATGTCGTTTATTAGGCTGTTTTATTCACAGGAGTTTGGGTTTTTAACCATGTCTCCCTGCACAGGTACCCAAGGTAGAACCAATAATCATAAGGATCTCTGAACTCTGGGTTTAACCTGTGAGGATGTCAGGTACATGGAATATATAACCAGACAATCCAGTGCTCCACTCAAACAGGATGTATGATATCTATCTAAGGTGAGAGACATACAAGTCTTGGAGTCTTACCCGATCATGTAAGTCACCTCTAACGACATGTCTTGGATGCAGAGGTCCAGTTCTAACCAGGATTTTTTATGCTGTTTTTGTGTGCATCTAGTTTTCTGTCATCATCATCGTCAACTAAGAACTTATATAGCACAACAATCCAGTAGTATAACGCTAAAAGCACTTTGAGAGGATGCATGTCACATGTATCAACAATGTCCACTCGGCGTATGTATTTGAAAAAGGTTTTACAAGTGGCTAAGTTATTGACAAGTCTCAGGTTTAATGGCAGATCATTTCAGAGTCGTGGAGCTGCTCTGGTGATCCCCACAGGTGGTGGTCCTTGCGTGTTGAACACACAGCATGCCTTGTCCCGTGGATCTAAGAGACATCGTGGACTTGTAGTCCTGGAGGAGTTCCTGGAGAAACACAGGGGCTAGGCCTGCCCTTGCCTTTAAGGTTTACAGGAGCACTTTATAAGTGATTCTGTCCGCATCTTCAACCATGTTTCGTTAACACTGGAGAAATGTGTCTGTCTTTCTTTGCCTTTGTCACAAGTCTAACTGCACAATTTTGTACGCGCTGCAGCTTTGCTATCAATTGCTTTGGTAGTCCAATGCGAAGAGCATCACAGTAATCTAAATGGGACACAACGCAGCCCTGAACAAGATATGTTACGGTCTTTAGATTTATGTATCGACGTATTTGGGCAATGTTTCGGATGTTAAAATATACATGTGTGCATACTTTGTTTACAAAGGACTCTGCATTCATGGCTTTGCATTCATGGCTGAAATACAAATCCCAGATTTCGTGCTTCTTTGCTTGGTTCAATGATGCAACCTCCAATTTCAAAGGTGGACAGGGCAAGTTTGCCTCTTGTTGACTCTAAGGGAGAATCAGCATTTCCGTCTTCACATTGTTGAGCTTGAGAAAGTTCAGGGTCATTCAATCCTTGATGTCCTTGATACAGTTCATCAAACGACGATATGTATCCTCTACTGATGTTCTGTTGGAAGGCTTAAGGGCCAGATACAGCATGGTATCGTCGGAGTATAGATGGAACAAGAGATTATTGGCGCGAGCAAAGTCTCCGAGAGGTGATGTGCAGATAGTGAACAACACTGGTCCCAGTACAGAACCCTGTGGAACTCCATACTGAAGGCTAACTTTTTCTGACATGTGCCCATTGACTCTCACTGAGAGTCTTTTTGCTGTCGTCGTTGTACCATGCCAACATAGGCGGATAATGTTCAGCCGGTAGAGGGCGCGAGAGTCGATTTCATGCAACGTTGCATTAATTCGTTTGAACTTTATAATTCAATATTGTAATTTTAATACGTAATTGTTTTGGGAATAAATGATTTGGTAGCATCCATGAGGGCTGATAGTTAGTATTATTTATAGAAATGCATTATGTATTTCTAGAGAAATTGGGTGTGACATTGTGCCTTATATTGTCACTTCTGGGACATCCGCTGCCGAATCAAGGTACCCATGACGATCCCAGTTAGAATTGACATTCAGCAGCCCATGCTGCGGGAGGTAAGGCTTACTGCCTCAGGGGATGCATGTCATCGTACCTCAACTGCTTAGATCGATGATTATAAAGTCAATCACTGGATTGTCTGGTCCAGACCTGATTATTTGGAGAACCACGCCACAGTTGCTGTGTGTGCTAGTACAAGGAAACAGGTACACATAGGGTCACAGAAAGGGTCGAATAACTTAGGTTAGGGGTAAACATGGTGTCCCCATTATGATGGTCTGCAAACAATTGCCAATGATCACATGCCCATTGATCACTCTCCCTAGTCGGTTATCTACGCAATACCCAGTGGAGTCACGACTGTTTTATGAGACGAAATGGCGCGAACACAGGCATCGAATTCACGGTACGCATGAATGGCCTTCTTTTATAAAAATCATTGAGAGATTCTGTGACAGTAAAGTGTTGAAGAGAACAATATATGATTATGTGGGTCATACTAAAGAACGAAGAAGACATGAGCATGATTGTGACGCCACGAAGGTGTCAGCCTTTGAATCATTACTGAACAAATATAAGGTGTGAATGTGGCTTAACTGCAAGTTCCAGGACCATATCCATTAGCCCAAATTTTCGACATTAAACTATTTTCGTCGGTTTCGTCTGTAACAAAGTATAACTTGTACTTTAAAAAGTACCCGACAAAAGATTCGCCTCCCGTCCTTTAAAATATCCGGAGCACATTGTACCCCCCGCACCGGAGCCTAAGGAACTAATCAAAAGATGGCCCATACAAGATGTGAAGGAAGATTGACCCAATCGACTCCATTACTGTCTAATGATGCACATTCACTCCATGGAGAAAGAATATGTGTAAATTAGTTCCTATATATATTCCATTTAGTCCCATATATACGTTTAATGCGAAATGCACAATATATTGAAAATAAAAGGGCTTTCATAAACTGCCGCTTGCTTTTAAACTGCACCGCTGTCTACAATTTGACGTGTGCGAAATACGCATGATGTCGAAAAGCGCACGTAACATCTCCAAATCCTCATCGCTAAATTTTGCGCACAGATATTGAAACCTCCCAATATCGCTGGGCTTACGCAAGGAAAACGCGTATAAAGTCGGCAGCACATTGAGAGGAGCGTAGGAACAGTGTTCTTCCCGTTAAGTGTTTTTAATTACGTGCTTTACGTACTCCATTTGTCACTCACTCACTCACTTACTTTATTTGTACGCTTGTCTATGTTATATGTCACTTGCAAGGACTGCGCCTTCACTCTTCTGTTGGAACCTTTCCAAGACTGTTACATGAAATAAAACATCAACAATTATCCTGCCATCTTTGATATCCGTTGCTGGGAATGAGCAGCTGAGGACTGTCATCCATATTACAACGTTGCCACTGAAGTAGACATTCGTTAATTTCGTGAATACTATTGGATTCGACCATCCAAACCTCCATATATGTATGTCACATTCCTTTGATGACATGATTTTAGAAAAAAATACGGGAACTTCATTTTCCATTTACAATTGAAAAAAATGGGAGATATATGGGAGTCAATCAATGTTGATAGGATAATACTGAATGTTTTGAGAGAGCATCACCACTTGCGCTTCCGCATGACTAATGTTGTTTTTGTTTTGGTTTTTTATTTATGTTTTTATTTCCCAGCAGATGTTTACATGTACATAAGTATACGTAGATGTTAACATCTACACAGCTATCATAGATACATAAGGTCTCCGATAGCATGTAAATCATAAGCCATTTCTACATTACCCATTATTTCCCAGCAGATGTTTACATGTACATAAGTATGCATACAGCGTGTTCAGCTTGACCTAAGCTACTCTACAAATGCATGACCCAGGAGGTCAAATGGCAAAAACGGCTGGCCGAGTTAACTTCATAAAATATGGGAGCAAAGAATGTTATTAATGTTGCGTTCGTGCGACGCATTCATACATGGATTCGTTACAGCCCGAATCGGAAACATTAAACCATCTGTAGATTCTTTTTTTAAGAAAGTTAGGACATTGCTGACGATTTGTCTATTCAAACGGCGACCTTGTCTCGGTTGTTCGGACATGTTGAAATTCGGCCAATGCAGGTTTGACGGCATCTGGTAACATGCAAGGCATAAGTCATTTTCACATTACCCATTATTTCCCATCAGATGTTTACATAGACATAGGGATGCTTAGATACACAGTATTGTTCATGTTGAATATGAAAAACGTCTAGTGCAGGTTTGACTGTACTCATGACTAAAGTTGTTTGTACAGTAATCGGTCTTGATTGGTGATGATTGGTGTATGACGTGAAATTTGCATGTAGTAGTACAAAAAAGAAAAGAAAATTAAACAAAACAAAACCCGGCTAGAAACAAACACTAACAACTGTGTGATGTAAGATGATTGTCAAAATTAATGGCCTACAGTGATTTATCCACCTTCTTTTAAACCGTCAAATAAAGAATGACACCCATGCACGTGTATGGGGCTACAACGTTATGTGCATGCATGCATCCATGCGTTCTGCTTAGGGGTGGTGGTAAAGTGTAATGGTGGTGCTTTCATAAGATGTCTGTCTTTGGAAAAGTTGTTAAAGCTTATACTTTCTATCAAATTGAAATTTCAGATTCCCCTACATTTTGTTAAGAGTGTATGTTATATTTAAAAAATCACAACCAGTGAAGTAATAATTCGTCAACACAGCCAGCTAGATCAGGCCATACGCAGGAACTTCTTATCCATAAAGTTGTAATCTTCGTTGTCTTGTATGAAACCGCTGAATAAAATGTAGTGTCCCGTAAACTGGTCAATAATTGATATCTGCACGCTATAAACTTAAAATTGTAGTGAAAAGATCCTTTCTAAAATCATAAGAAATCTCATATTAAAGGGTTTTTAATGGGCTTTACCGTGTTTGACGATTTAGTGTATTATGAAATTAAAGGTGTACCTTTGGTCTATGAAGCATCTCCCAGCTGATTGTCCACTTGAAATAGGTGCTGTAAAAGGATAATTTGGTTCATTTCATGTAAAATAAAATCACCAAAACGCTCCACATAAAGTTGGAATCGCACAGTGCACGCTACTTTTTATAATCTACTAATGGAAACGAATAAGGGAACACGTGAATGTATAAGTGTTCCTTTATTCTTTCCAGGATTTCTTCACAAGGTATGTATTGCACTGTGAGTGAAATTCTGGAAATGATTACATGAACACGGGTACCGTCATGTGTTCCCGTATTCGTTTCCACCAGTATATGGAAAGTTGTATGCTTCTCTCGAGGGTAATACGGTCTGATGCACGCCGTACATCAGACCGTATTACCCGAGGGAGAAGCTTACAACGTATTTATCTTACCTCCATGTTAACTGTACAAAACATCCTTTTATTTTATTGTGAAGATCCATAAGCTCGCTACCGACTAAATGACACGTAAACAAAATGGCGTTTGCCTCTCGACTGGATTTTAACATCTGTGAAACATATTGTGAAAAACTTAAAACTGCTCTGAAAATGATTATGTTATGTTTAAGTTGAGTGTGCAAACGATTCAATGTATAAAATGGTTTAAATAAAGCAGTGAAAGTCGGTAAGATAAATGTGTACATAGTGAACTCAAAACAGCTAGTCGAACGGTTTTCGAACTCCGTACACTGCATGCGTCATATTATGACGTCGTTCGATTGTTAGCGATACAGTTTCTCGGCGGAGAGTTTGGCGGTTACCGTGGCAGCGGGTAATATGTTTTCCAGTTGTCACCCTCCTGGGAGGGGTGACATAGAAATTGTTAAAGCGTCATTGACCAATGAAATAAAGTATTTTACATGAAGGTAAGATATGATAAAAGTAGTTTGCACTGTGCGATTCCGACTTTATGTGGAACATGTGAACACAGCAAAATAGTAATGATAAATGTACCCGCTTTGGGGGAAAAACCGTCTCAAACATATGCAAGGAAAGCCGCTTTTAGCAATATTCAAGCAATATCACGCTGAGGATCCTCGCCTATCAACGGGTATTCATTGGTATGCGGAGAATGGTCAATGCTATCACGGCGGAGGACACCAGAAATGGGCTTGACACGTTGTACCCATGTGGGGAATCGAACTCGTGTTTTGGCGTGATATTCAAACGCTTTAAGCTCCAGGCTACCCCACCGACCCTCACCGGAATGAAACTTGAACATGTGGTATAACTCAAAAGGGGGAACTGCATCACACTTGTTTTCAAATTTTGAAATGTTCTGTACATGTCCTCCACAATATGTTCTGAAAACTTTACCATGTATCACTTGCTTGACAACGACATTAGAATCTATGTCGAAACGTTGCCTTTCACAGAATAAAACAAGTTGTATATCCATAAAAATTTTCATCATTCTTCATCAACTCAACTTCTAAAATGCCCATCAAAGAAATAACTAGAATATCACAGATACAGATATAAAACTAGCATGTGACCCTCAAAATATTTGAATCTTACAGAAAATACAATATAGAAATGGGCTACAGATTGCCATCAACTGAAAGTTGATCACCATACTGATAGACCATGGGTACAGTACTTTCTCTACCTGCATGGACTCTGGATGCACAGCTTCTCAATATTGGCTGGCTACTTTCCCCGATCGTAATGACCCATACTATAGAGTGTTTGTTTCTATGTTGTTTAACGCCGCACTCAGCAATATTCCAGTTATCGAGTCTGGACCAGACAATCCACTGAATAACATCATGACCATCGATCTACGCTATTGACATGTGTCAGCAAAGTCAGTGAATCTGACCACACGATCCCGTTAGCCGCCTCTTACGACAAACATGGGTGAAGACCAATTCTAACCCGGATCTTCACCGGTCGACAATTGTTCGACAACAGTGGTTGATACAATTCTCTTTGAATGGCATGGACTAACGGTACCCTCTCAGGAGCTGGATGCCTGAACAAGTAGGATGATTATATTAATATGAATAAATGTGACACTTTTCTCATTCCCCGTGAAAGATGTGAATAGTCATTGGAATTGCCATTTGTATTAAATTGAGTTATAAATTAAAGTCATTTGAAATATTGGCAATATCACTGTAAATTACAGTTATTACACTTGATGGATACTTACAGAAGGCAGTGTACCCGATGAACGAGATCAGAGTTAGAAACACCGCAAGAAATGTTCGCTTGGACATCGCTGTAAAAATGTGAAAAATACACATAATAAATACTTGACATGTAGACATTATGTATCTCCAGGGCTAAGATTTCTGTAAAACTAGTGGTTGAAGCGTTCCCTCGACAGCGATAAATGTCAAGACACAATGAGTAATTCATTGAATCAAGGGTAATCATAAATATCAATGTGTGCAACTGGGATGCGGTTACAAGCATTCACCAAAGCAAACCAACCAGACAACCCGATTCCGAAATTGATAAGCATAAGTTACTTCCATCCTGTTCTAGTCCGGTTCTTCATATTGTGTGAGTGAGTGAGTGCGTGAATGCGTGAGTGAGTGCGTGAGTGCGTGAGTGCGTGAGTGAGTGAGTGTGAGTGAGTGAGTGAGTGAGTGAATGAGTGAGTGAGTGAGTGCGTGAGTGCGTGAGTGCGTGAGTGAGTGCGTGAGTACGTGAGTGAGTGAGTGAAAATTTAAAGTCACATCGGCAGTATTTCAGCCATATCGTGACTATGAGAGTTCCACATTAACATAAACTTAGTCAATATCAATATCTGTCAACGAAGGACACTAAAATAGCTATACTGTCACAGATGAACATTTAAAACTAGCATGTAATCGCAAAAATATATCACTACAGAGAACAATATAGCAATGGGCTATAGATCGCCAGTCACTGAAGGTAGTATCCCGGGCTGGTTAAAGGTTTTGGGATATCTGTCTCTTCAAACACAGTAGTCCATCAGTGGATCCACAACACTTTATTCGGCAGCTAGATATGCAATTACATGGTAGTGCAGCAACGGCCAGGCGGCATCACAGAGGCGATCGTCAGCCCACCTGCCTAGCCGCTGTCCGAGGGTCAAGTCCCGTTACATCCAGAATTCATTGTCTATATACTACTGACTGTCAGGCTGCCCTGTATCGTATTACGATACATGTATGAATCCACCTGCAGTATCCAGCATGCACCTCATCCACAATGTTACGCTTCCGTGGCCAACCGGCCATACTCTAAAGTTAATTAGGGTTAATTACACGCAGGCAGCTGATCTGTACATGGCTGTGCTGGTGGTCGTGATAATAAGCTGCTGATATTTCATGTATATTGTCAGCACTGTGATTTAGATTTAGATAACACAACTTCAACTTAACTCAGAGAATATACAAACATGTCTATATTTCCAGATAAAACCCATACCCCATCAAAGTACCTACGACAGTAGATCACCATACTGGGTTCCATGGGAACTTACATTACAGTACCTGCATGGACCCTAGTTGGATTTACACCATCCCCTCAGTCACTGGCGATAATTCGTACGTTTAGCCAAAATAACATTTCTTATATACTGCGTTTTAAAACTCTGGCATACATAATACTTCAAATTATGACCATGATGAGTGTCATTAACAGCAAAGTGCTGGGAATATGGGCATGACAAGTTTCCTCGTCAACAGAAGCGTTGGGAATATTGGCATGACGAGTGTTATCATCAACAGAAGTGCTGGGAATATGAACATGACAAGTTTCCTCATCAGCAGAAGTGCTGGGAATGTGGGCATAACGAGTGTTATCATCAGCAGAAGTGCTGGGAATATGGGCATGACAAGCTTCCTCATCAACAGAAGTGCTGCGAATATGGGCATGACGAGTGTCGTCGTCAGCAGAAGTGCTGCGAATATGGGCATGGCAAGTTTTCTCATCAGCAGAAGTGCTGGTAATATGGGCATGACGAGTTTCCTCATCAGCAGAAGAGCTGGGAATATGGGCATGACAAGTTTCCTCATCAGCAGAAGAGCTGGGAATATGGGTATGACAAGTTTCCTCATCAGCAGAAGTGCTGGGAATATGGGCATGACAAGTTTTTCTCATCAGCAGGAGTGCAGGGAATATGGGCATGACAAGTTTCCTCATCAGCAGAAGAGCAAGGAATATGGGCATGACGAGTTTCCTCATCACAAGAAGTGCTGGGAATATGGGCATGACGAGTGTCATCGTCAGCAGAAGTGCTGCGAATATGGACATGACAAGATTCCTCATCAGCAGAAGTGCTGGGGATATGGACGTCACAAGTTTCCACATCAACAGAAGTGCTGGGAATATGGGCATGGTTTGAACTTATGCTGAAAAGTAGTAATTCAAATTGACCATGTGTCATAACAGAGAAGGATATATTTCAACATCTAATTATTTCATCCAATACCTAGATATATTACAACAACAAAAATGGTCACCAATTATATTCTTTTTCACATTGTCAAATTTCACACTGAAATATATTTATGTTAATATTCTATGGCAGAACACATTACACTCACTGAATGGATTATTATGTGTGTGGGTTTTTTAAAATAATTTTACTCGTTTTTTAAATTATTCTTACCAAGATAAAACATCACACTGTGACATCTTGTCAAAACTTTATGCATTAAAGACGTTTGATATTCCCTCTCATTTTTGCACGTGTATTTGTAGTTTTATCAGTAGCAAATCAGATCGCCGGAGGACGTAAAGCCCGGCGCTGACGACCTAGTTTGGTATACTTCCGGCACAGCAACTCGGGTCTTTGGCAATTAAAAAAAACAAAACAAATGCACCCCCACTGAGAGCACGTGTATATGCCTCCTACACACATAGGAAATATGGACAAAAGCTTTTGATCCCGGTGAGGCCTTTAAAATAGGATATATTGATTGATGTGTGCGTAATTGTCTGGTTTTCGATCATGTCGCCGTATTTCTGTGCTGAACCTTTACATATTATATAGTAGGGGGTGTTGATACTAAACCGGGGCCTAATTTATCGATTTTCTGACCCGCAGTGGGGGTCTGTGGCGCACACCGCTCACCAAGGGTGCAGTTTGCAACGCTGGTCAGGAACGTGTGTCACATGCGTGTGGAGGTAAGTACATCAATGTATTTCACTCGACATTTTATATTTTGGGCGCGGAGTTAACTGACATTAGCTCAAACAGGCACGAAGCATGTTCATGACATTGTCATGTTTTGGACAGCCAGTTGCAGTCACTCTTTCAGGGAAGACACTGTCACCTGTTTTCGTGCCTCGCCTCTTTCCGTGACCTACAAGAAGACTCGTACCCCTATCGTACGCCATTATTGCCAAGAATCTTGGCAAACCAATCAAATCGCGCGTAGTAAAACGCATTTCGAAGCATGAAAATGGCGGCGCCATTGAAGTTTGAAACTTCGCTAAACTATGCAATCACAAGTTAAACATATACCTTGAGCTAAAGGATCTGAAACTTTAAACACTGAAACATATTTACAAAGGGAATGACTGTATTGCTGACGGGATATAGGATATTCTAGGAGCCATGTTTTGAAATTCAGAGTTATCTTTCCTGAATAGTACTAGACTATTTTAATCTCCATGCCCGTTTGTTAGACAGGGCCCAGTCGTAAACATGGCCACGAGAGGGTACGAGACGCCATCCCGGCTTGCCTGAGGGAGTAGTTACGAATGGGGTTGCGGGGTGCCTAGGGATGCGGGTTATCCTCAGTGATTCCTCCAGCTGCGGGGTTATGTGAAAAATGGAATCGAGCAAAATGAATGGCAGCTCTGAGAAAAAAAGAGAACTTAATGTAAAAAACTATTGGTATATGAAAATAAAATAAAGTTTAAGTATGCATAATTCTGTTTTGACAGAAAGCCTGCGTTGTGAAGGTATTTTTTCAAGCAATAAGTATTTTGAGCAGGGCAGATACAATGCATGGTGCAAAAACTGCAGCAGTGTGAAAAATATTCTGGTATGTTTGAAAGAGCAATAAAAGACTTTAAAAAAAATATAAAATATAAAAATCTATTCAACAAAATTGTAAAAACTTTTGTAAAAAGCGTGTTTTGATATGAAGTAAATGTAAACAATGCTGCGTTTAAAAACAAAGCCTAAAAAGCGATAGCGAACGCCTGAGAAAAATAGATGAGCCCGAGTGATGAAGGCGAAAGGCAGGAAAGGGAGCGAAGCGCCTGGTGGTAGGCGGAAAAAGGGAGGGGTTTGGATTGGTTAAGAGGGAAAGGTCAGATTTCGGGGGGTCATGCACCTTTTTAAGTAGTTCCTCAAAAGAGAGTTCCTACTGACAATGGGTTGTTGTACCCGTTACCCCGATTGGTGCCTTGCTACTACCGGTACAGAATCCAGGATGCTATGGTTCCACAGGCTCAAAGAGCACCGGCATCATGGGTTTTGAGATTGGCGTGAACTGTCTGGAAAGCACCCTTGCTATTAATAGACATTTGGCTGTTCCGTGTTGTTGAACGAATAAATGGTGGCTGCACAATCACGTAGTCAAAGTATACACACTTGCTTGTGTATGCAGGACGGTTTCCTTCCCCCTTGGATATTACATAGAACATAACCTGACTATCAACCCCGGCTATCACAGACCGTAAATATAGATCTAGTGCCCGTACCGTTATGTATCCAGTGCCGCATTTGTGACGTGACACTGACTACCACACTGACTGTTCTTCCATGTGTTGTAAATACACAAAAATGCCTGAACCACAAAGATCTCATACTACTAATTAAAAAAAACGATCACAGAGTAACCCATGTTTGAATGTAAATAATATTTTTTTAAACTATTTTATGGTATATTTAAACATACGTTGCCATTTCCCAGGTAACCGTTTCAACTATAAATAAAAATTATGACTCCAACAATTGTGTACTTGCATCACAACATCATGACAGTGAGAAAAACACCAGCGTTAGCTGTATAACGTCAAACGTAGTTGATATGACCAAGAGCATGAAAGTGAGTGGTAGACAGTAAAGGGAGTTAACACTTTACACACTGTATCATTCACAGAATGACTTGCATGCAGCTGAAAGTTGTGTATGATAATCGAATTGATAAGGATCAACGCCACTACAATGGTATATAACCTATATATATTATATATGTTAGAGCTTCCGCCCGGAGAGCGGAAGGTCGCGGGTTCGATCCCCGACGGCGTCATACCACAAGACGTTAAAAATATGGTACTTGTTGGTCTCTGCCTGGCGCTCGGCATTAATGGGTACAACAAGGACTGGTCGGCTCGGAGTCAGTATAATGTGTCTGAGTGGGGTATTCATGCTTCACTGCGGCATGGTATCTCAGTGGTCTAGCACTATAAAACCAGCTTCAGTCTGGGCTAGTACAAGCAGCCACACATACACATGCACACCCATGCACGTCGTCATATGA